AGCTGAGATACAATCCAGTTCCAACATTTATCAAATTTAGTGATAGCAGACTCTTTAATTCAGTTTCAACTGAATTAAAATTTTTGCCTATCAAATTTAGTGGTAGCAGAGTTCTAAATTAAATTCCAGCTTAGTTTAAATTCTTTGCCGCTTTGCTTGAAATTTATTTACAGCTGAAATGTAATTCAGTGCCAGCTGTGTGGTGGCACAGCGACAGCTGGAAGGGTTTGGTGATGCAGGCCGAGAATTTCCCGGCACTGAGCAGCTGCAGTCCTCAGGTGGACCGCCATCGACCGCTGCGCTCGATCAGCTGACAGAGTTGGCCATCTGCCAACTCCCGGCGATGGTGGACAACCCTTGTGCCATCCACACATCTGGCACAATAGGGCAACCCTTGTGCCATCCATACATCTGGCGCAATAGGGCAACCCTTGTGCCATCCACACATCTGGCGCAATAGAGCAACCCTTGTACCATCCACACATCTGTGCATCCCTTGTGCCATCCACACATCTGGCGCAATAGAGCAACCCTTGTGCCATCCACACATCTGGCGCAATATAGGATAACTCCTGCAGCATCCAAATATCTGGTACATTAGGAAAATTCTTGTACTGGTACAGTATTTGATGTACACGGAGGATAGCAATCGTCCCAACAATATTCTGGCAAATATGGAGGAGTGTTCTGTGTCACATTCAATCACCCGATTCAAAGGTGCTAAATTGTGCTACGTACACTTCGAAATTGTGCTATAGATTTAATTGAGGTTCTTCAATCATCGTCTGAAGCACGAATTGTACGAACTTTGAAGACAGCATGTGTGAAGGTCGAAAAGAAAACTCGACCTCGAGTTTCCTCCTCCTGGCCATACTATGTTAAAAAAGATTCACTGAGCATTTTATAAATAAAAGATTGTGTGGGTCTCTGCCATGGGTTTGTGTATGTATGAATCTCTGCCGTGGGTTTGTGGAACAATTTGGGCGCAGAACAAACACTCGCACGCATGCAAATTTGGCTGCGCAAACCCAAGAAATTCACACAATTTCGAGGCCAGAAAAGACGAGGCATCGGCCGACAGCTTTCATGGGCAGCAAATTATGGCGCCCCGGGCTAGCGTGTACACGTAAACACCCACAACAAATAGGATTAAATCTGAAATTGAGGCAGAAAAATTTACGAGCTTGTGCTCGTAAATTTGTAAATTGTGATTCATCTTATGAGATGATGATCGTTGAGAATTGTGCCCATAAATATTTATAATAACCATCATTAATTCAGACGTCCAATCTGAATAACAGCCTCACATGGATGTGATGATTCCGAGAGTCGCTTGCATCAGTCAAGGGCCAAGAATTTCAACCAATAAATCAAAATTTCAATAAACAAGACAAAGATGTTTTATGCCGTGTTCAATGAACAAGACAGAAAGACGCTTCAATGAGGACGACATTATACTCGTATGTTCTCCGGTATCTTATTGTACGCTTTGCCTCTAGGACCTCTTTGCCGTCACCCTGTTATAAATTATTGTGTTCTATGTGGGACTGTAATGGTCTTCTGAAAATTCTGGTGCCCTTTTGTGCATAGCAATGTCCTGCTGTATATTGAGGTGTCATGATGCCATGCTGTTCGCAGTATTACTCCGCTGCATGGCTTCCTGAAATGCATAGTAAAAAGCATGGGCGCGACCACACAAATGGCATGCCCTCTATTTGCGTGAAGGAAAACATATGCTTTTTGAAAGCTGAGCGAACTCATATTCACAAATTATTCAATTTTATTCACTAAGAATGACTAATAAATGAACGTTCGCAATTAAAGTAAATAAATCACACAAATGGGAAACATTGAAATAAAATAATTATCAATTTGTTTCTAAATGGAACAATCATGTTCTCGTTCGGGTGGTTGAGAATAATTTTACGTGAAGCTTGCTACAATGGATGATGCACATGTGCTCCTGAGCAGTTAAGTAAATCACGGCATATCTCTAGTGAAGCTAACAGCAACAGTCACAGTATTTTCAGCAACAGTTATTGTAGCTCCAGTGTCAGATGCTTTAGGTCAATCCCCAGATCCTTTTAGCTCCATTACCAGCTGTTGTAGCTGCAGACCCAGCTGTTGTAGCTGCAGACCCAGCTGTTGTAGCTACAGACCCAGCTGTTGAAGCTGCAGACCCAGCTGTTGCAGTTGCAGACACAGCTGTTGTAGCTGCAGGACCAGCTGCTATAGCTGCAGACCCAGCTGTTGTAGCTTCATCACAATCTGTTGTACCTTCATAACCAGCTGTTGTAGCTTCATCACCGGTGGCTGTAGCTCTCACATGAGTAACTGTAGCTCGTACCTCAACAGCTACACCCCCGTACCAGCTGTCATGGCTTCATTTCAGATATTCTCGCTCCATCGCCAGCTTTTGTGGCTACGACGCCTGCTGCTTCAGCTTCCATGTCACCAACTGTAGCCCGAGCAGGAGCTACTGTAGCTACAGCAACAGCTGCTGTGTCGGCAAGCTAAGAGCCAGGCTTGGTAATCTATTAGCGTCACTCTGACACTCATTGATGCGTCTACTTAGAACCGTGGCTGTGTCAGGCGCCGTCGAGACACATCCATGACACAGCCATGACACAGCCATGACACAGCCATGACACAGCCATGACACAGCCATGACACAGTCATGACACAGCCATGACACAGCCATGACACAGCCATGACACAGCCATGACACAGCCATGACACAGCCATAACACAGCCATGACACAGCCATGACACAGCCATGACACAGCCATGACACAGCCATGACACAGCCATGACACAGCCATAACACAGCCATGACACAGCCATGAACGAGCTGGTGGTCTGTACCATTATTAAAATGTTGGTCTATTCCATGAACGAACATGGTGGTCTTTACTATAAATAAATTGTCATTATCCATGAAAAAAGTAGTGGTCTATTCCATGAACGAACTGGCGGGCTCTTCTTTGATGGAAGTGATCTGCTGCTGCTTTCTGAATAAGTAAGAACACTCAATAGACTCGCGCTTGATATTCATGAATCAGTTACGAGTTCAAATACGTTGTACTTCTCAACAAGTTCTCATGGAACCCTGACCGTGTGTAGAAAAATATACTGTTTATCACATGAGCACCTCCAGAGCAAGGTTTAGCTTAAACGCACCTAATATTGCTATATCAACTGGACCTGACACCCAAATATTAACTCTAGCTCAAACTTGCAACTATAATACAATTCTCAAATATTACCAGCACGTTTGCTGGAAATTCAGATTTCCAGTCAAAAGTTCAAAAAAAAGTTCCAGTCAAAACTGTTACTTCAAACTCAGTTAATGCTATAGAACCGATCATATGAGCTTGAGAATCTAACTCTAGTTTCAGGAATTTGTTTTACTTCGAATATTTTCCAGCATGCATTTCACAGCTAATTTCATTTTATCGTGAACTGCTCCCACACCTAAACTATCACATGATATTTTTTTTCTAATCGGGTGCTGTTTTTAAATTTAATTCAATTATCTATAACGATATGCAACTGGTCTAAATTTTACCATGCCATGTAGTAGTAATCCTCCTCGACCAGAAGAAAACATCTGCAGAGGCAACCGATGGTGATCTAGATTCAATATAGGGAAGGGTCGGCACATTTTAAAGAATACGTTTAAATTAACTAAACGCAGTTAGGGCTCAATGTCCCATATGTGAAAGAATGCTATGAGCATCTGGAACAAGCGTTATGAGAAATGAAGCATTAACAAATTGCTTCAAAGCTCCGTCATACGTCCAGGAGCTTATTCAAAACTTCAACTTCCTGCGGGTAAACTTTAATGCCTTTCGCACTAACAACATTCCCGCCAATAAGTATCAATTAAATTCCTGCACACAAAATAATCTTTTGTCCCTAATTAATCTTCAAGTCACAGTCCTACATATATTCAATTTATAACGTTCATGGAAGAGACCAAAAGTTTATTAATGGTATAGACCACCAGCTAGGCAATGGAGCAGACCATAGTTTGTTCTTGAAAAAGACCACCAGTTTGTTCATGGAATGCATCAACAGTTTATTATTGGTACAGACCACCAGTTTGTTCATGGAAGAGACCAATGGAACAGTTCATTCACGGCACAGACCTGTTAACATTTAGAAGACTGCATGCAAAACAGGCCAACATGGAACTCAGGAACTCACCATCGCGCTTTGTATAAATACGCTTTGTTTGCCCCCAGTTGTTCATTTAACTTACGATAAAATTTCCTTGCTAATTCTGATTTAATTGCGACGAGAAAACACCATCTATAGTTGATATGGAAGCGCAGGCTTCAGGAACCGCTCTAATTAAGGACCGCACTTGCTTTATTTGAGCGGTTTCTCAAAAGCAATTAGGACAACCAATTTCTATGCAAATAATATTTAATGAAATTATTTGTGAAATTCATAGCTACAAGAATTGAATTTTTGTTTTGAAAATATTTGGCTTTCTATTTTTTATTTGTCATTGCTGAAAAAAGAGAACGAAGTTTAATATCGATGTTTCTGCATCAACAAGTAAATAAATGTCACTGACAAACTTCCTGATTTTATACAGTGATATCCTTAATTTTTTGGGAAAACTTTTCACTTGACAAAGAGCGACACCTTACCTTTTATTTTAAACCATCTCAAGTGTAACATAGTTAACATACTAGGTTTTAATTATATCGTTATTACAGTACATCGTTTCTATATAGTCAGGAGAGAGCCAACGACCAGACCAGAGAAGATATTTCCTCTCAAGTATAAAGATTATGAATCAACACAATGAAATGGAACGCGAGACAGAGGTATACTTCAGGCAATAAATGCTAGAATTATCTCGTTGTCATTTTGAATAATCAAGAAAATTGAGCTAACTTCCTACATACACCTCAAACCATCGTCAGACAAAGCTAAATTAAAGCAAATATTGCAATGAGACTAATGTTAGGATACGGAACACTTGCCTCTTCATCTTGGCCTTCTTCCTCCTGAAGGCGCGCTTCACTCTGATGAGGATGAAAGCCGCGGTGCCGAAGCTGACAGCGGGCACCCTGCGTGAGGGCGAGCCGAGCTCCCCGTCCCTGCCGCTCTCCGCCATCACGCGCGTCGTCAGCGCCACTCACGACCGTCGTCAGCGCCACGCACGACCGTCGTCAGCGCCACGCACGACCGTCGTCAGCGCCACGCACGACCGTCGTCAGCGCCACGCACGACCTCGTCGTCAGCGCCACGCACGACTGTCGTGCGACGAGTGGCACGCGTCACACACACTACACGTCTCTCGCTACGTCTGTTACTGACGCTGCGTCTCCGGCACTGCTGTGCAGTGTTGCTGCAGTCAAGAGACTTTTTATTTTATTGATAATATGCAGTCTGGACCTATGTCTTTTTCTTTTAATTTATGGATAATATTAATAATATTCAAGGTAATTTATCCGAGTCACTAATATTACGATTATTCATGACCAATAGTCATGAAAAGGAGTCTTTGATTGACGTCGGAATGAGATATTTCAGATACTAAATATTTAATCGAATTTTATTTATTTTCTCCACAAGTAGATTGTAAAAACTAATGCGTAAACGAAGCGGGCGTAAACTTGTCTTTGCTCGATTATGATTTGTATATAAATACTTCACTTTTAATTCAATCCGTACCAAGCACCACTTGAATAACTCACTTTCTCGCGTATGATAAGATCATATATTGCAAGTACAAAGCCTTTATGATAATTTTCGTTGACGTTGGAAAAAATATTTTATCACTAATGAGATTTTCTTTCGTTAAACAACACTTAGACACTTAATCTTCGTACCCACACAACCAATATTCACAACAATAACTCTCGCACTCACTCGATGTTAATTCGACTCGTACGAGCAGAAATCAGGAAACAATGCACATTTAATTTGTATAATCACTCTGATCACCGGTTCATAAATCTGAAACACAATTAGCGATTATGTATCATGTCATAAAGCGATTATGATTAGTATACACAGTAGACGATCAAATTTGATAAAGAATCAAAATTTTAATTGGTCCTTCCATTTATTATTTGTGCAGAAAAGGAAGGAACGCTAACGGAGGCCATATCAACCAAATGTTGAATTTCAATTCGCAAGTCAAGGGCAGGAAATGAATTTAATATATTCCAATGTACACATAAAAGCTGTCAAACGTAACATCTCTTTTCAAAAGATCATAGCAATTATGTATTAGTACATTTTATTTTTTGTGCATTCCAATTCGGCAGGAACCAATTTAACCTTAATAAACCATTTGGAAGAATTAAACGTCTCACAACGAAATTCTTAAAATTAATTTGTAACAATCATATTTGGGAGTAATCTCCTTCGTTGACGATGTCAAGAAGACAATCTTATCCCGTGCATATATTTCAATCAGTTTGACACGTAGAACTGTAATAGAATGCCACGACAAAATTCTCGAATTGCAATTAGTGATTGTATAATTTATAGCGTCGACATCATTTTTTACAAGTGACCAATTCCCTTCATAGGGATTTCAAACATTTAGAAGATAAAGATGTTCGATTCGCTATAAAGAACTGAACACGCACTGTAGTACTGTTACTGGTGTTTATCATAAATTTTTATGACAAACGAATCATCCAAGTCATACAGGGCTATAGCGCCCAGATGAAGGCATCTTTACTTAGGTTGACGATGTGGGATAAAGAAGTTCCAATCACCAGCAAAAAATAACAAACGTTTAAGTCATGCGAGTAATTAGTCCAATTTCACAAATTATAGCATTTCATTGGCTCAAAACTATGTAAAACGATTTGTATAGTTTTCTTGAACATATACTGCTAAGTTTATGAAAGATTCATTCATAAATAATCCAGATCATTTAAAATGAAATCATATTCCACAATTTTTTGGCTTGAATTTACATGCGTACTGTAAATAATACTTAAAAAATTCATGGTAACATTGATTCATGACAAAAATATGTAAAAGATTCTCCCACAAAATGTTTTACGGTTTCAAATAATGTTTAGTCGTTACTACGTCATGATCCTTTATGCTAAAAATTTTTGCCTCCTTCTAATTGAAAAGCACGGAAATCTCAAATTTTTCCACCTATCGAAAGTTCTTAAAAATATCAGGATTTCAATTGGAAAGTGACAACATCAATTAGGAAAATCATGACTAGTATAAAATTGTAAGTGTGTTTAAAGAGTATTTTAATGTTCAAATGTCGGGCTTTTACCGAATATATATGCTGAAAATAAATTATTGATGAATGTCACAATTATAACAATGTTGTACAGACCGTTAAAATTAAGAATAAAGTTAGCGGAAAGGAAGTACAGTATGAACACGAGGGCAGCATATTCATTTGTCGTGTGGAATGCCCCCCACTGAAAAGATGATTAACCTTACCCGTGAGTAAAGTCCATGACAGTGAACATGCGCTACGTTCTTCTAAATTAATGTTTAATGTAATGTGATATTGTGTGCGATAAAGTTTATGGATGTGACCGTTGTTTTTAACTGGTCGCTGAACCTAGGTTACCACTATACTCACGACAACCGAGAAGAATTAGCGTTGGAACTGAAGATTATAGCTCGAAATGATAAAACTCACAATATCTCGTTTGCTTTTTAAAGAAACATTTCCTTATTTATTGGTTTCCGATGCTCGGGTAGAAATAAAATAAAAAAGTATTCATCTGCTTTCATTTTCACGTGTAATATCCTCATAGTTGTTCTGCTCACTTGGGGCCGAGATAGAAGCTTTCCTCTTGAGCCTGTAGAAAATGACGAACTCGCATCAGTTGCAGGTTGAAATCTCACTTTTATGAATTCGTCGATAGCCGAAGCTCTCTGGCGCTAGCAGCGCATTTGGCGGAGCTTATGGGAGCTCAACAGCTCGGATAAGCGATGCATTTGTTCTGAATGCTTTAAAAGAATCGGAAACTTCCTCCCGTTTAGTTTACCAGGTCCCGAACGATTTAGGAAAGTTTAAATGAATAGTTCTCTCCAAACTGTGCTCTAATAATTTTTATATCTTCATGTGAACCAAGTGAGGTACTAGAGAACCATTTCTTTTGTAAGCAATAAAATAATTCATATGAACTTTGAATTTGAAATTGTGAATACTCTAAATCAGCTGCACTGTTCAAATGTTCATTATTAGTATAGCTAAATCATTTGTAGAAGACAAACATCCAACACATGCAGAGGTTAATAAATAGCAACAAATATGAGTCTCGTGCAGCGGAGCTTCACATTCATATACTGAACCAATTATTTGAATTTGTGTACCCCAGGATAAGGTCGTTAACACAGAGTGCGTGCTAGTAATTATAGTGAGCTAAACGCTGTTACTATCTATACTGATGATAGCGTGCGCGCCAGCAATGCCCTCGCTTTATTAACCTCAGTAAGTGCGCACTACTGAATACAAAGGCATTACCCTCAACTTCATGTCTGATTTAGACTTCACTTATAAATAATTATTAATACAGTAATATTTAATAAATAGTTACTTCTCTGTCATTTATAGCTCAAATAGAGGCAATTGGAGGGTTGAAAGCAAAGTAAATTTAATTCAATTCTATTTGAAGATGAAAACGACATATCATCTTGTTATGAGGAATCTGAAAAAGTCCAATAAATTACTCCCATTCTCCAAGATAAGATCAATGATAGGGGCTCAGGTGGTGGTTGATCAGTAATATTGGACAATAAGTAATTGTATTAGCAGAAATTGGCGCAAATAAAATGAACTTTGCATGTCATCAACAAATTGGCACGCAAAATAGGAGTCAAATGAATCCTATTCAAATGATTGAATTTACTTCATATAACGTACGCGAGAATTTCATAACAGAGAGTTGAGTTAATTCATTATATCTGCACCGGAAACTTCCCGGGGACCAGCTTCACCATCAGTTTAAAAATTAAAAGATTGCAAGCGCAATAGAGAAAAGCCAAGCACCAAATTAATTAAAACCTAGGTACTGAAAAAATAAAAACGGATCAAGTAACATGGAAACAAATTGCTTTAATGTTTTTTCTACATTTTTTAGTTAATTTTTTTCAAATTATTCCAGCTTCTGGCCACGGTGACCGGAAAGGGTGCGATGAGGTCCGCCTTCTAGGAGAAAGACCAGACAAGCAAGATCGGGTTGCCCAATAAAGGAGGCAGCGGAATGCAGAACGGCAACCTTGAAGTGCGTGCGATGCTGAATGCGTAGCCAATGAAAATCGTTCTACATCAGAGTTACGCGATCGTATTTTCATTTGGCACACACGAATCGCGCGTTAGTCTCCGTTACTTTGTTAACTGCAGTTTGTTGAGTGCTGAGATCCACAGAGCGGTAGCACAGAAACGCTGCATGAGACAGCACCAAAACACTGCACGAAGCAGCACAAATTAAGGCACTACACGAAGCAGCACAAAAGCAGTACACGAGGCAGCACAAAGGCAGTACACGAGGCAGCACAAAAACATTAAATTTGGCAGCACAAAAGTACAGCACGAAGCAGCACAAATGACTACACGAGGCAGCAAAAAAATTTACACAAGAGAGCACAAAAGACCGACACGAAGTAGCACACAAGCATTACACGAGGCTTCACATAAGCACTACTCGAGGCAGCACAAAAGCACTACATCTATTACGACAGCAATTTGCGTGCAATGCAGTCATGGAATGACTGTCAACGAACAACGGTTCACTCAAGACAGAATGAACTTCATCAAACTTCGTATTATCTTCTTCCTTCATTGAAATGTTTGTGCCAAATGGAATTTTCTGCGCTACCACCTACAATGGCACAGCCTCAAAATGCCTCCTCAACTATTGAAAATATCTGACGACAATTTAACGACGGGCAAGTTCAATATTAGACGAATTCACGACGTACCAGTTAGCTGTTAGAAGATATGAGTTTGCCACGTTCAGTTCGTAAAAAGACAAAGTTGCAAAGCAAAAATTCAAAGATAGAAAAGTTTACATTAGTATAAGTTCAAAGATCGACAATTTTACATTAGCATCACTTCAAAGATTGACAAATTTTCGAGCTTGCGAGCCATCAGTCGTCGGCCTGCCAATCCAT